TAAAGAAGAACGGAATTGGGGCAGATACTAGATAGTGAAGAAACAATGAGTAGCCTTGATGGGGACATTGATGCCAGGTACTCGCTAGTTATGTATTTCCCTAAATGCCGTGCAATCACTTCGACTCTTGACTTCCTATCCTTCTTATTCCTCTCTTTGTTTGTGTTTTACTTCAAAAAGACAATCCTAATCAAAACGTTTTTCTTCTTCGTGTCTCCCGATTTTTGTATAACTCCCTCTCTCTGCGCTATCCGCATTCCCCACTGCTGTGCCAACGACGGAGTCTACGTTCGCTTATGCTTTTACCTTCCTTCTCCTTTCACGTTGTATGAGCTTCGAGTTTTAGAATTGGTGTTTGTGCTTCAGAGGATTCGAGCTCACGGCGTTTGTTCAATCGTACTCCGTCCTGGCCTGCACACCGCACGTATCAACGAAGATGTTTAAGGATTCTGTACGCCGTGTCCCTTCGGTGGCAGCGCATCGCCTTCAGTTCCTGACGCGGATAGTAGACGCGTGCATCGGGCCACTCGCTGTGTCTTTTGCAGCAACTGAAACATCGAAAAGCGCTTGCTGTGACGACGTAAACCCGCCCTTTCTGCACACACTAGTTTGATGTTTCTGTGGGTTACGTTCCACTGCGCGGGCTCCCTCTCTCTGCGCTATCCGCATTCCCCACTGCTGTGCCAACGACGGAGTCTACGTTCGCTTATGCTTTTACCTTCCTTCTCCTTTCACGTTGTATGAGCTTCGAGTTTTAGAATTGGTGTTTGTGCTTCAGAGGATTCGAGCTCACGGCGTTTGTTCAATCGTACTCCGTCCTGGCCTGCACACCGCACGTATCAACGAAGATGTTTAAGGATTCTGTACGCCGTGTCCCTTCGGTGGCAGCGCATCGCCTTCAGTTCCTGACGCGGATAGTAGACGCGTGCATCGGGCCACTCGCTGTGTCTTTTGCAGCAACTGAAACATCGAAAAGCGCTTGCTGTGACGACGTAAACCCGCCCTTTCTGCACACACTAGTTTGATGTTTCTGTGGGTTACGTTCCACTGCGCGGGCCCCCGACAACAATAATGTCGACAACGAAGCGCAATTCTATGGCGACAAGCAAGAGAACCCTCAGGAGGCCCACGAGATGGAGGAGGACAACGGAGAGGAGGTGACGGTGGATGACAAGCTGAACCTCATGTCGCAGGACGCATGGCCGCTCTATCGCTACCGGTGGTGGCTGCGTGAGTACTTCTCGGAGTTCTTCGGCACCTTCTTCCTGATCTCCTTCGGCGACGGTGTCTGCGCCACGATGCTGTTCCACGCCGGCGACACCGCTGCCAGCCAGACCAACGCGAGTTGGCTCGGCATTACCTTTGGCTGGGGCATCGGGCTTACCATCGCACTCTACGTGAGCATGGGCGTCTCTGGCGGGCACTTGAATCCCGCGGTGACCTTGGCGAACTGCGTCTTTGGTGCGTTTCCGTGGAGGAAGGCCCCCGGGTTCATTCTTGCCCAAATCCTTGGCGGCATGGTGGGCGGCGCCAACGTGTACGCGCTCTTCAAGCCGTTCTTTGACAAGGGGGAGCAGAACCTGCTGCCCGGCGAGACCATGACCACGAAGTACGGCGGCATCTTCTGCACCTACCCCGGCGTGCCGAACGGGTACGCCGTGTGGAGTGAGCTGTTCAACACGATGGCGCTGATGATGGGCATTCTTGGCATCAACGATGACCGGATGACGCCCGCCATCAACTTCAAGCCCTGCGCGGTGGGTGCGCTGGTCTTCTGCATCGGTCTCACCACCGGTGTGAACTCCGGCTATGCCATCAACCCGGCGCGTGACCTTGGCCCGCGTATGATCACGGGAATGCTGTGGGGCTCGGACCCGTTCACCGTCCACCACCACTACTTCTGGATTCCGATGTTCTGTCCCGTCTTCGGCGCCATTATTGGTGCGTTCTTCTACGTTCTCTTCATCGTCCCCAAGGGCGTTTAGTGTGCTTTGCTGCTTCTGCAGTGTCCATCGACGCGATGTCTCACCGTGGATGCGTTTCTTTCTCCCCCTCTCCGCATGAAAGAGCGTTCTTCTTTTGCTCCGTCTTGATCTTCTCCCTTGCTCATCAAAAACATCACGTTGAATTCATCGCTAACCGGTAGCCCGTAATTTCTTTCCTTGCTGCTTTGCAGCCATAAAACGTGTTTTTAACGCTACCGCTCTCTCTCTGATTTGAGTGCGCTTTCTTTCTTTTCCTTGGAAACATTGTTGTGAGAGCGAAGGACTCCTGCAGCGGCCGACATGTGTTGGTATTGCTCTGTCCAGAACTACCGGGCTATTGTGTTGTGACCTGGCAGCGATCGAAACTGCTGCTCCACACCATCAATGGCAGCACTGGTGAAGCAGCTCGCAGCACGTCTTTCTCACATCGACCACATTAATAACGATGCTAGTAGAGCAAATAAGCACGTGTGCCTTCGGTGTACTTACATTAAACCCTTTTATTATTTTCCAATTTTCTTTCCCTTTCCTTTTGTTTCCGAGTCGAAACTATTGCTCCTCGTCTCTCTCTCTCTCTCTGGTCATTTCTTTCTTTGGAAGGAGGGTGTGCCGCCCGGGCCTCAGCGCGTTGCGTTGGTGACAGAGACGCCTCCCTGGCCGAGAGTCGACTACGGAAAGTCTTTTTTCTCCTTCCTTTGTTTCAGTTCGACTTCAAAAAGATTCCTATCAAAACGTTTTTTCTTCCCTTTAATCGATACATTTCTCTCCCTCCACACGTAATTCTCCTAATTGATTTCTCGGTTTCTCTTTTCGTGCTTTGTGGGCGTCGTGTTTTATAATTGGTGCTGTCACTTCAGAGGATTTCAGCCCACGCCGTTTGTTAGATCGTACTCTGTCCCGAACCGCACATCTCAGATACTAGAGCAGGAAGCTCTCCTTTATAGATGCTGTTTTCTTTGGTGGCAGCGCATCGCTTTGAATCCCTCACGCGGGTTGTAGATGCGTGCATCGTGGCGCTCGCGATCCCTTCCAAGCAGGACATTTGTTCACACTCCCCCGTTCGAAGTGACAAACGTCAGATGCACACAGTTATGCGTGTTATTATTGCCGCATTCTCCACTGCGCGAGCTCCCTCTCTCTGCGCTATCCGCATTCCCCACTGCTGTGCCAACGACGGAGTCTACGTTCGCTTATGCTTTTACCTTCCTTCTCCTTTCACGTTGTATGAGCTTCGAGTTTTAGAATTGGTGTTTGTGCTTCAGAGGATTCGAGCTCACGGCGTTTGTTCAATCGTACTCCGTCCTGGCCTGCACACCGCACGTATCAACGAAGATGTTTAAGGATTCTGTACGCCGTGTCCCTTCGGTGGCAGCGCATCGCCTTCAGTTCCTGACGCGGATAGTAGACGCGTGCATCGGGCCACTCGCTGTGTCTTTTGCAGCAACTGAAACATCGAAAAGCGCTTGCTGTGACGACGTAAACCCGCCCTTTCTGCACACACTAGTTTGATGTTTCTGTGGGTTACGTTCCACTGCGCGGGCCCCCGACAACAATAATGTCGGCAACGAAGCGCAATTCTATGGCGACAAGCCGGAGGACCCTCAGGAGGCCCACGAGATGGAGGAGGAGGATTACGGAGAGGAGGTGACGGTGGATGACAAGGTGAACCTCATGTCGCAGGACGCATGGCCGCTCTATCGCTACCGGTGGTGGCTGCGTGAGTACTTCTCGGAGTTCTTCGGCACCTTCTTCCTGATCTCCTTCGGCGACGGTGTCTGCGCCACGATGATGTTCCACGCCGGCGACACGGCTGCCAGCCAGACAATCGCGAGTTGGCTCGGCATTACCTTTGGCTGGGGCATCGGGCTTACCATCGCACTCTACGTGAGCATGGGCGTCTCTGGCGGGCACTTGAATCCCGCGGTGACCTTGGCGAACTGCGTCTTTGGTGCGTTTCCGTGGAGGAAGGCCCCCGGGTTCATTCTTGCCCAAATTCTTGGTGCCATGGTGGGCGGCGCCAACGTGTACGCGCTCTTCAAGCCGTTCTTTGACAAGGGGGAGCAGAACCTGCTGCCCGGCGAGACCATGACCACGAAGTACGGCGGCATCTTCTGCACCTACCCCGGCGTGCCGAACGGGTACGCCGTGTGGAGTGAGCTGTTCAACACGATGGCGCTGATGATGGGCATTCTTGGCATCAACGATGACCGGATGACGCCCGCCATCAACTTCAAGCCCTGCGCGGTGGGTGCGCTGGTCTTCTGCATCGGCCTCACCACCGGTGTGAACTCCGGCTATGCCATCAACCCGGCGCGTGACCTTGGCCCGCGTATGATCACGGGAATGCTGTGGGGCTCGGACCCGTTCACCGTCCACCACCACTACTTCTGGATTCCGATGTTCTGTCCAATCTTCGGTGCCATACTGGGAGTGTTCTTCTATGTCGTTTTCATTGTCCCCAAGGGCGTTTAGTGTGCTTTGCGGGCTGCGCAGTGCCCATCGACGCGATGTCTCACCGTGGATGCGTTTCTTTCTCCCCCTCTCCGCATGAAAGAGCGTTCTTCTTTTTGCTCCGTCTACGTCCTCTCCCTTTCTCATCAAAAACATCACGTTCACTTCCTCTCTCCACTGGTAGCCCGTAATATCCCCCTTCGCTGTTTGCAGCGCTGAAACGCGTTTTTAATGCCACCGCTCTCTCTTTTGTTTGAGTGAGCTTTCTTTCTGTGCGTCAATTCGCAGTAGGTAGAGCGAACGACTCCTGCAGCGACACGTGTGTTGATATTGTTCTTTCCAGTAAAGACCAGAGACTTAACAAGTGACCTGAATGCGATGGAAACTGCTGCTCCACACCACCAATGCCAGTACTGGTAAAATAGTACACAGAGTGTCTTTCTCACATTGACCACATTAATAACAATGCAAGAAGAGATAAATAAATACGTGTTTCTCAGGTTTAATTACGATAACCTTTTTTTCTTTTCTTTTTCTTTTTCTGGTCAAATTCGAAACTATTTCTCTACTCGCTCTGGCCATTTGTTCATTTGGAAGGAGAGTGTGCCTCTCCGCTTGAGCGCGTTGTGTTGATGTCTGAGAGCGCATGCTAGGTTGTAGCCCGATATATAAAACCATTTTTTCTCTCAGTTGGATGTTGTTTTATTTCATACAAACTCCTAATCAAAACGGTTTTTTCTTCGCTTTATCTCTCGATGCTTCTCTCTCCCTCCATACTTTTTCTTCTCATAATTTGGTTGTTTTTGGATTATTTTCATGTTTTATTATTATTATTATATACTGCCGTTTTCGTCAACACAGGCACGCAACAATATCCGCGACCCAAGGAAACCCTCGAAGGTTTCCCACCTGTGTTGACGGACGTATAACAACAAGTACTAAATTGTGAGAGCGACCGCGGAAAATACCGTATCTGATAGCGAAATCTAATAAAGCAAATTGGTCTTCAGCCAACGCTGTCAGTTATATTTTTATTATCATTTTCTTTCTCTGTGGAGCTGCGAGCACGTGAAAATGGCTGAAACTCCCAAAACAAACCGACAGCACCAACAACAGTTCCATGAACGTTGGGTAGCGTGCAGTGACGTACGCCTCCGTGAAGTACGCAGCTGCTCACAGAATGTAACTCACGTTTTAAGCGTGCAGCACTATTTTACCGGGAGTGGTGTCTTCTTGTTCCCCCCTTGCTGTGTTTTATAAGGAACGAAATTCTCTGCAGGACGAAGCTTTCTGGAGTTTTCTGTGTGGCCGAGGCACAGAGGCATGAAACTCTCTTCTCGTTCTACTCCTCCTTCATTCTGTTGCGGTTCTTTAATGCCTTCTTCGCAGTTGACACGATGGTTCATTTCTTCTAATGCTGACGGTTACGCTTGTGGGCCTCAAGTACCGAGCACACAGCGTTTTTCTGTTTTATTGCTTCTATCACTGTGCCGTGGGCGTTCCGCTCTTCATCTGGTACCCCATCCTCTACGGTTTCGTTCTGCCCTTCCGCCCGCCAAGATCCTCCAGCTGCACAATCACACTGTGAAGCGTAAATGAACTGGAGGTGCTGCGGCTCTTTTCGCCGTACTCCTCCACGTCCGCCGCGTGCATCTACGAGGAGGCGTTTCGCTTCTGCATCGAGGAGAACCGCTGTTGTGCCACGGGAATGCCCCTCAGGTGTACGTGGAGTCCGCCGCCTCTACGCTGCTAGAAGCGATGAAGAGGGTCTTTACAGTCAACCATGCCGCCATTAGGAACAGACTGGGCGGTCTCTCTGGCCTTGTTGTCGAAGGAGGCTGCCGCGCTTATTTTGTACCACAGAGTCCTCTTTCGCCATGTAGAGGCGGGCAGTGACTACCGCAGCGGTACGAAGCGACCGCACGGAGCAACTCAGGCCCATCTCGAGGAGGAGACCAGCGTCACCTTTGCCGACGCCATCGTACTCACCGATCCGTCACAGATGGGCAACAAACCGTGGACCAGCCGCAAGACCGCGGCCGCAGCGGCGACGGTCCCGCTTCCACAAGGTGACACACGTGGAAGCAACTCTTCGGTGAGGCGAGCCTCAACCCAGTCATGTTGGCAAACAGGGGGCGAAAGTATGTTGTGCCATTTCGCCTTGGTTCGCTATGGACTGCGTTGAGACCTTCCACGACTTGGAGAACAAAGCGAGTCGTCTGTTTGTGAACTGTGGCAGGAACGATTCTGCTTCCATCCCTCGGCTAAACTCCAACCACACGCCGGTCAATATCATCGCAGCCGTCTCAAACTTCTCACCGTCGTTGTTTCTCGACGTGATGAGCAACCAGGAAAGCAAGTAAGAGAAAAGGACGGAGGTTGGTACTGCTGAATTGCTGGTAATGTCACATTTCTCGTCATTCTGCTTTCTCCATTGTTGTCTCCCCACTCTTCTCTCGTCCAATATTGGTCTCTTTTCGTCTTGCCCTACGTGCATGTGGCCCTTACAGCAAACTGCCTTCAAGAGTGCTGAGATCACAGGTGAAGGACATAGCGCACCCTGTTTCTTTTCAAGCGGCATCATAGCAGAGCAGTTTCTGTTCCCAGGTGCTTCCACCGATGCGTGTGCTTCGTCGAGAGGGAATGCAGTGAGGCAGCGCTTCGAACCCACAGATACGCTGAGGCCGGCATCTACAACGGCTGTGTAGCACGATTGACACGGTGCTACAACGGCAACGGTGTCCTTTCTTTTCCACGTTACCAGGCAGCGGATTAGAGCAATGCGATCATCGAACAACTCGGCTCTCCCGGCACTGTGGGTTGTTATAGTCCCAGTTGCTGAGAGCTGCCTAAGGGGGGTAAGTGCGGTGTCACAAAAGGCGATGTTCGAGCCACTTCTGCTTGGCTTCCACCTTTTTTTTTTTGAACGCAGAGCACTTTATGCGCAGGAGGCAGCTTTGCTTTTCATCTGCCATGCCGAGTGCAGCGTCGCAATTGAATCACAGTTCTCTCCTTATTACTTGTTAGTGGTTTGTCCCTGCCCCAGTCTAAGCGCTACGTTGCATCCTCTGAAGAACAGGGCAAGAAGAGGGAGGAGTACGGTTATTCTTTGGCCAGCGTGTGAGTCGATACAAGGAGACCCAGGGGCCTTTTTGCCGTGTTTTTGATCTGCTTTGCAAAACGCAACGCTTGAGTAGTTGGCAAAGAGAAGCAGAAGAAAAAGATCTACGAGACCAAACAAGAGAAGGACGACTAAAGGTAACTGTTGAAGGAAAGAAGATGTGACTGAAAAACGGAAGAGATTGAGAATGATTTAGTGATAAGATGTGAAAACGACAGAAATAAAAGCTGACACGCGATGGTGTTCCTGACTGCCGAGAACGCCAAGTCACTCCCGCAGAGCAGATACATCATCAAAGCGTCCTCTATCCTCCGTTCTTCGTCGTGAGGCATTGCGTCGCCGGCATGCGGTCACCACCACCCGAAAGCAACCACAGGGTGCCTGCGGTGGTGCTGACCACGCACGGCTCGGCACCATCGCCGGTGGTGGAGAAGCAGCTGTGCTCTGCTTTTATACGCGTGTGGCCGGGGCTGCGTCTCGTGAAGGCACACCGTCCACACCAAGAGCGCGACAGCACCGATTGCAGTCCCTAAACGACGATATCCTTTACCGGGTACGTTATGAACGTTCTTATGGTCGACTGCCGCAACTAGACCGTGAGTCTGCGCCGCCTGCTGTCAATCGCAAAGCAGTACAAACCGCCGTAGCACTATTCCTTCGAGAGGTTGCGCCGGATGCTCATGAGCCGCCGCATCCCGGGCAAGAGCCCCTTTTCTTGGGGGGTTGCGCAGGTGCCGTGGGTGCGGCGCGGTCGCTTTGGCCGTCTGTGATGTACCCCCCCCCCCCTTCCCATCCAAGGAGCCAAAAGGCAAAAGGCCAGCACCCCACCAAAGCCTTCCCAACGTTGCACGCCCCAATGGAGCTTCTCTTTCCGTTGTTGTCTTTCTTTATCTTTTCGTTTCCAACAAAACTGGTAGAGAAGCGTGCCCACGAGACGATAATTGCGCAGCGACCGACCCTCCTGCGGCGCAACGCGGAATATGTAAAAGCTGGGAAACCGGTGCGGAAGGTTGTCCGTTAAACTCCCGTATCGAGTTCCGCCGCTACTCCCTTTTCAGAAGACTCTCAATGCCGCAATCGGAGCGTAACATTGCATCACCAAATGAGAACTCCCAGTAGCTTGGCGTGGTGCGCATCTCAGAACGCTCTCTGTTCGACTGAAGTGAAACCACACCTCTTACCCTGATGCTGAGTGAGTTCAGTGTAACTCAAAAGGAGTTGAAAGATCTCACTAAACTTTGGTTTTGTAGTTTCCTTGAGCACCTCAACGTGGGCGGCTGCCACCGACTCACCGACCTCAGCCCGATCAAAGGATTACAGCGACTTTCTTGGATCGACATATCCGACACCTCTGTGGCCGACCCGTTTACAACGTTTTCTCAGATGTCACAGCTGACGGAAGTACAGATGATCGGGCGCAACGGGCGAGATGACCTCCGTGAACTGAAGGGCGCAACTAAGCTGAAGACTCTGGAGGGAGCTCGAACAGCACTCACAGGGCTTGAGAGAACCGCCACTTCTTCTTTGCGAGAGAAAGCCAACGTAGGCCGCTACACGCGTGTGAGAAATCTCTTTCCTTTCACAGCATTCCATCATAACTACGTCGGGACATCGTTCACGTCCATTGCAGACGTCGGACCTCTCCACTCCTTCGACGCACCGGAGTAGGCTTATATGTGCTGCTGCAACGAACTCAACGACGTTATTCCATGGGCTGACTTTCAAAAGGGCGCGCCAGCTAGGCGTTCTCGATCTGCACGAGAACACCGCGCGAACCATCACAATGAGGACGACGAGTCGTGCAATGTTGCAGAAGTTCAACCTCTGTGGGTGCAAGAAATGAGTAGCATCTCCGTTCTGCAATCCGCTTGGGAAACCGAGACCCTCAATCTGATGGATGCACATGTGGCCG